CATAGGAAGCGTGTAAAACATGTAGTTTGGCACCTAAAATTCGTATTCCATAAGAGGCAATGGCTAATAGAGCTTTTAAACGTTTCAAACTTTCTTCAGTGTCCCTGCGCTTACCTGAACCAGAATGCGATTTTTAGCATAGTCAACCATGGCGTTTTGAGTGAATGTTCTTTGCAGGCCACCAATCTTGAAAATAACAACCGTGACTATAACAGAAAATAGCAGCAGTCCAAGTAAAGTATAGTGAAGGATCTCTCTGAACATGGGAGCCTTGAAAAAAGAACGAGATTCGAGGAGTTTTCCGAGCCTACCTTCCCATTATGCGGTCGTAGAGGTATGGTGAAGAGAAGGCTGCAAAACGATTCAAACCGAGGAAAAATATAAGAAGCGCGGAAAAATATGAAATCGCCAGGTCTACTGTGATTGAGAAACAGTTGAAACCTTCAGACTGAACACCCGCAAGCCCGGCAACGAATATGTAGATGAGCTTGCAAGTGCTGCTCACTACAACACTAATCGAGAACACGAGGACTATTGCATGAAAGGAGTTCTAAATTGCTTGCAGTTGCCAAAATATCATGGAATGATCAAATGGTAGATGACATTGCTGAAGACTTACTCTGAACGTTCGATGTCGCTCGATCACACTGACGACACTGAATATGAAATTCAGCCCAAGGCACAATAAGCTGCAGAGTATGGTCAAGTAGAACCAGATCCAGAATGAAGCCGTGTGAGGCGATGAGGATGGATTGAGTAACCCTTGGTGTCCTGAAGCGGATGAAATCACATGGAAGAGGATGGCTCTGTGCTTGTTAGTGACGAGGCTTAAAACGCCCAAGCAATGCTTTGGGCATTTTTTAGTCTAAACTATGTAAAAACAAAATGAAATGCAGAATTTTTATGGCAGCGAGAATTTTTAGTGCATCCGAATTGGTTGGGCTAAAACCTCGCATTCACTACACAAATACTGCACCTTCTGAGTCTTACCTTCTTTCACTGGAATGGTGATGCCCGTTGGAAGCGAAGAATTGATGAGGATTGAGTCTACCACTGGATCGATGATCGGAATTGGTGCGTCGGATGGAGCAATGAACATGACTTTCCGCTGAAATTGTAGAATCGAGGTAGTTAATTAGATAAAGCTTTTGTGCATTAACATTCTGAGAAAGACCTAGACTTTCTTGCCAAATTGCTTTGTTTTAGATCAAACTCGACCTGCTCTAACTGCCTTGAGAAGTAGTAGATAGACGGAAGGCATTGATGCTCTTTTTTTTCCCTCGTAGTTCCAAACTTTGAATGGTAGGCGTATGAAATTTGTTCCGTAAATGTAGTTCTATATGTCTTTCAATATATACCGGCGATACCTGAATTTTTCAGCGACGATGTTTTGGTCTCTAGATGTGGCGTTTTTTACTAAGGAGATGGGTGCTCCTGTACGCTCAATGGGAAGAGCAGTGAAAACGGTCGAGGTCGAGAAAACGCGAAAAGGGAATCCCTTTATCCGACCGTTGGTTCGCTAACGGCGGACGAGTTTGAAGTAACACGTTTTGCGTGCCACCAGCCGATTCCTGGTCCAGTAGTTGCTCCGGAGGTGTCGCTTCTTGCAAGACAACTCGACCAAATCACCAACAAAGCAAGTCGGCGGATAACTCGTGAGCCGGGGATGCTTTTAGAACTCCTGCTCACCATCCAGCGCTCTTTTTGGGAAGCGTCACTAGTTTTTTTTGGCAGCCAAGTGCTTTCTTCATATGATGAGTTTATTTCCCCAATACGCTCCCTCTTGATCGTAATAGCCCCCTTAAAGGCAAAGGTCGGGCTCAGGCACGCTAGAGAAGTAATTCCCGTGCCTGGAGGTTGTATGTGGGTAGCTGCACACATTGCAGCAACTTCCCACCTTGAAAAACCCCGTTAAGGCCCCGGGGCGTTCGGTTTGTGGCGGATCGGGTTTTTCTTGCGTTCTTTCTCCACTGGGCTTCCACTTCTGCGTTTCATTTTTCTTCGACTACTTCGCCTTTCAAATCGACCATAATAGCCCACTTTATCGAGCCGACTTTTCCTCTAACACGTAAACATAAAGTCAGATGAACATACAACGGGAGGATAACGAGGATCCAGATTCCCGTTTTCAGGTTGCATTTCTCAGCTTTATCCAGTAAGGACTTTGTGACTCCACTGATCACGTTGCCTCTTTTAGAGCGTATCGGGCATGTATGTATGGTACCATACAGTGGTCTCAGTCAACAATTGCGCATGAGTTGCAGTGGCAGGTGAGGGGCAAGCGAGGGGCGGAGAGGAGTGGGCGTCACTGGATAACATCATCATCTGCTGCACAACACGCCACGCACTGAGTACACAGTCGGCCACATCACAGGATGCAGCTTTGGCAGGTGGAGGACATTGGAGGGAGACGAGTGGAGCAAGGGGAAAACTATCACCCGCTGACAAATCCGTAGTCCAAATCAGTTTAAGGTTCCCATTAGAGCAAATCTTTTAGTTCGAAATGCTATATTGACTGTTTATTGATATAAAAACCCTTTGAATCGTGTTTACGACGACGTTTCGGACCTTAGGCCCTTCCTTAGGTCTACATCAAACATGCTAATCGGAGTAGATTGTCACAAAAGTTAAGCAAAAAAAGTGCGTATTTTGAACTTCCTTTTGAGCCTACTCTATTTCAAGCACATGTGCAACCTATCATCATTATATGTACCACCACTATCAGTGACTTGTTACCAACATCCAACCAAAGATTGGCAACTTAACTCTCAAAAGGCTGGCAGTTATGAGCTGAAAAAGGCAGTGAGGTCGATTTTGAGGTGCTCGTGGGAATCGTATTTTTTGTCGGCAAGAAGGCGGCTGAGCAGAAAGGGCAGATGTCTTTCGAAAGAGGATGACTACCGCTGCACGATGAATGTGGTAGGACTTTTCAGCTGGAGCTTCGATATTCAGAATCGCTTCATTTTCGAAACGTGTGGTCTCGGGTGTCGTGGAGCGTACACACTTTTTCGAGTTTTAACGACATTTGTTGGGGTTTCACCGTGAGTCTCTGCCGTTGATCTCCCTACACTTGAGTGAATTCATATCTATAATGATTGACATGTCTCTAGTGGTTTACTCGAGAACGCTCCAAAAGAGGTGGAGCACGACCTTGTGGTGAATTTCTTCACTTTTCACCCTCTTCTTCGATCCAGTCCCTGGGGATTCTAGGTGGGTTGTCATGAAACAGTGCTTTGGAGTGACTTTCTTAAACCAGTGCGTACGGGTGTAAAAAATAAGTTATAGGCGGCACGCGTGTTGCACTCCTGTCATCGGTGGTCAACTCATGGAGGATCTTAGCAAAACCATTTTACGAAGGAGCAGGGTGTAGCGGCCACAAGCAGGTACCCCGTGTGGATTAGCTCCCACGAGAGAGCGCAGGCTCTCCATATCCGACACCGATGCCTCTCTGAACGAGGGTTTTTCTACCGGCTGTAGTCTCCTGAGCAAAGAAGATCCATCCATTCTGATACCTCATGGCTGGTCAACGACAAGGAGATGTATCGCATGCAGGTGCCGCTTCCGGCTTCAATCGAGTTTTGACTCAGAAGGACTCAACAGAGCTCTTTTCTTCCCTCACTTCAACTTGATTCTTGCCTTATTTACAATTTCTGAGCTCAGCGACAGGTGGAGTTGTAACCTGCGAAGTAATTTCAGTTGCGTGCAGTCTCGCTATGCAATGTTAATGTGACTATCGCTGTCGTGGAAGAAGCAGAGCTGATTCTGCGTTTGCTTAAAATACTTGACAGGCCGCTTTTCACTGCCAGCCAGCAGATGCCCGATGTGACTTCTCGGGCCTCCTTTGAACAACAGAGCACCGCTAGTGGAATCACGAATTGAGGAGCTGCTGAGGCGATCGTTCCCATTGAAGACAGCACTATAAGCGAAGTAACGTCGACCGACGGAAACTGCATTGCCACATGAATGATGAGCGAAATCTGAAATAAAATCGAGAGTCATGTCAATGCATCTCACGAAACACAATCTCGGTGTCTCGGTTCGATATAAACGAATAAATTAATGAATGTTGTTGCTGCTCAACGCCTTCACAGCTCAGGTCAGTCAATTACAATCGCAATAACCCAGTAGTTTTTATTACATGACGAAGATGTCCACAGTTAGAAAGTGGACTAGACGGAATAGAAGCACGAACTATCTTTTCGAACTGTTTGCAATACAATGCTTTAAACCATTTGCAGGCATGTATAGATGCCGGCGATACGGAGGACTGCAAGGAATATAAGGCGGAAGGCAAATGCAAGGATCCATCCATGCAAGGCTACATGCAGGCATTCTGTGCTCAAACATGTCGTTTTTGTGGGTGGTAACACCACGATGCATCCAGAGATAAAAAATTTCTAAGATTTTGCGACAGTTTTGTTCACCTTTCATACTTTCTTCCAATTCTGTTTTTCTCGGATCCAACTGATTCAAAAAAAACTGCCAACATTATTTGGCCGATATGGTAACGCTGACGTCCTCTCCAGCGGTAGTAGTGGCATAGTGCCTGCTTGTGAACCCGCCTAGAGTGCCAAAACTGCAAAAACATCTGTTTCAACTTTATAGTGAATATCGATTTCAAGAAAAACATGGTGTCCCATGGATCCGCGCTTTTTTCTACTCCGAAATCTTGTTGTTGCGCTAGCACCCCCACTAGTGAGGATATTGTTGAGGCCACGCTCATCTCGAAATCTTTACAGCAGCACATCAAAAAACCATTTTCTCACTCTGATAAAAGATAAATTACGAAACAAGTTCGCGGAACCTTGCTTCTTCAGAATACAGGATCGCTGCGAGGGGTTCCGCCGACATTGTTTTATTTGCTAAAGGTTAAGCCATGCAGTCATTCCGTACACGCTGAGCTGAAGGACAAGAACTTGGAACAACTTTATAATATGTGTGAAAAGCCACTCGTGAATCAGTGAGAAGCATTTCCATAGGAAAAGGAAAATCTGAATAAGTTAGCTCTATTACGGAGGACCATGAAGGATTTGCTTTTCCACTAGTTTTCCTCTAGCTAACGGTCGGTGAGGCGGCAAAGCTGTGCAGAGATTCATAATTACACACGCTCATCTCATTCCAGATTTTGAAACTAAGCACGAAATAAAAATATTAGGTTGGTCCATAAGTCTTGCAACAAATTACATTTAATGCTAGAGAATTTTTGGAGAACTCCGAAAAATCCGCAACATGTTTGTTGACGTAGCATCCACCTTTGCAATTTCAGCCAACCGTCCAGCTCGTTGTCTCGCTACTTGTTATGGATATTACACCGATTTCGCGAAAAGCTCTTCGTGCCCTTAATTTTTACGAGTACTGCTTGGAATGTTCCGCAAGTCATGCTACACCAAGGATTAGCCAGAAGATGGGCGAGGGCACGCTCTCTCAATTCACAGTGCAACGGCGCTTCACTCTGCTCAGCGTTGACTTTTTTATTTGAAGATGATCCACACTCCAACCACCCCGTGACTGACAATCACGATGCTCTATCTGACGCTGTTGAAAAGGGATCTGGATAGACTATCGATCATTTGCTAGAGCGATTCCGATGCGACAAGGAGACAGCACTGTGGCATCTCCAAAGACTTGTGAAGATCCGAAAATATAGAGTTTGGATCCCACATGCCTTGAGCCCGAATCAGCTCCAAACACGATCTGACATCGTTATGTTCAAGTCGACTTACTATGGATTCTTCGATTGACCATCCATCACATTTGCCGAAGATGAGGAGGGGTACAGTGTGCTAACAAATAAACAAGCGGCGACAGTCTAGCTCAAACGCTTCGGGAGTTCTTACTGCTCAAGTTCAACCTCGTCCAAGTAGGGCCTTCTCGGATTTTTGGTGGAACACGAGAGGAGTTAAGCTCTGGAAACCCCTACGTAGATGTCGCAGTCAACGCGAAAGTCAACTATCCACAGCTCGAATGCAACGCTTTTCAATACGAAAGAAAAACAAGGCAAAGTTTGCTTTTTTATGACACCGTTGAACCACCTCTTGCTAAGAAAATCCAGGAAAATTTTGACTCTCGGACGGAGAGTTCTTCCGTATCCACCTTATAGCCCTGACCTCGAGCCAAAGGATGCCCACCTGCTTCCCTCTCCAGACCACTCCTAGAGAAGAAATCTCATCCTAACCATCATGATGTCAAAATCGACATCTGATCTTTCTTCGATCAGAATTCAACGGAGTTCTACAAGAGAGGCATCGAACAGCTTCTAGTGCGTTGGCAATAGGTTGTAGATATTGATGGTGTGTAGCATGCTGGATGAATGGAACAAAAAGATAATAAAAATATTAAATTCAAAATTCAGCCAGTTTGTTGCAAGACTTATGGACCGACCTAATATAATACAATGTTGTGCAACTGCCATATAAAATATTGTCCAAAGCATTAGGGTACGTTACTCAGCTGTGCGCCCCTCCCCCCCACCCATACCCCTTTCCCAATCATCTCGACAATATCTTGTGTTAGAATTTCTTCAATGTTGAAACTGATTAGAGAATAATGCTTGATAACACCACATAAACAAATGTCCTCAAGGGCGAATCCTATTAATATTGCTTCAACCGTGCAACTTTGTTACCCTTGCAGGTGCGCTGCAACAGGTATGTCAGAGAGCACTCTGCAAACACATCGCAAATTTTCATCTTGATTCCCGGAAAAACATCACAAAGTAGCTCAAACATCATCGCCAATAAGCTACATTCCAGCATGTTTCATTCATTATCTACTGCGAAGCTCTACGTGTGCCGCTAGGACAGTAGCATTAATAGAGAATCGGGGGTAAGGTAACAAGCGAAACTTATCAAGAGCCTTGCCGTGTCCGCGAAGTATTCGTACTTTATTCTTCCACGCAAACTTGAGAAACTAGAAACTGAACTCAACCTATCTCATCAATCGTAGGATATTCGTATTGAGCTTTCATGACACAATGAGTGATTGCAAGTCGGAAACTCTAAAGCTATAAATTATGGGTGTGGGTTGCAGTTGTGACTTAGTATTCCGAGTGACACCCTTAACACATTATTTAAGTGTGCTTGCCAAGTGTAGTTAAAAGTCTCATATTGTACGTGTGGTAATAATTGAACAATTTAGTCGGATGATACGACTTCTTACATGGCGCACTAGTTATGTGGTACGTGACGGTGACCATTCGATCAGCATAGCCTACTGGCGATAGATTCCGTTCGTAAACTTTATGCGATCGTAGTGAATTGGGCTGAACACACGAAGCGCTTTGTTCATATTCGAATTACGTTTAGGCAGTGAATCAGCAATCAACAAAGTACCAATATGCTTCCTTTTCCCACCACAAGGAACTGTTCTGTCCTCGTCCATCTGTCGCGCTTTTCAGCATTTTCTATCGCACGCGAGGACTGAGCAAGCTTTCCAACTGATCTGTGCAGATGTCTTGAATAATTACTGACCCCTTTGATCTGGTGCCAGAATGCGAATGGAAGGTGAAAATCGTACGCAAGAAATGTGTGGAGTACACACAGATGAGCTTATAGAACAGATTGCACTCTTTTGCCCATTCCTTTCACATCCCATCCCTTAAACGCACTCCTCATGACTTCCAGAGAGGAAAAGGAAACTTGTAGATCGAGAAGAAGATGCCTGGGCCAGTAAACACGAATGCCTGAAAAAGCAGAAAGCGTCCACGGTTCTGCACAAGTAATTTACTTGGCTTATGGAACTATGAAGGTAATGCGGATATATGGACATACTGCTTCAGAAGGAAAGCGCATCACCGAAAGCAAAACCTGCGTTCTTATTGCCCGATGCCCGACCCAATTGAATGTTAAGAGAAGGGATCTTCTCATGCCAGCTACAGGTTTAGTCTTTGATTGCAGAAGCCCCTACAGGTCGCAGGCAATTTATCCTGAGCGTAGCTTCGATACTGTGATGCGAATGTGTAGTGCAATAAGACGTTTAAAGGCCGTTCTGTCTGAAGGAAACAATAGGCTCAATATCATAGGTTTGGCCGCAACACGTGCTTCTCTTCTGCCTTCTTTTGAGTCTCTTATGCGACAATCAAGTTATCTTCCATTTTTCTCTCGTGACCCACTCTTTCTGTTATTGCGAGAGGCTTGCGGCTCGACTGCTAACAGAGTAGCATGCTTCTGACGTTCCAGTTTACATTGTGATCCTTCTCCGAATAGGTACAAAAAAGTCATAGTTTTTGTTGATGTTTGTGAAAGCGCTTCTTACATGATTTGGGCAACACACCTGCTACAGCGGTTCAGCAGTCGCCAATACTGACCAACATAAATATGGGTCGAATCTAAGCACTATGCATAAGTTTCAGACGGAGATACAGCCATGTCTCTACTTCTTTGGCGCGCTTCGAACGGACAGAACAACACACACACCGACAAACCGACACATAGAAGTTCTGGCTTATGTAATGAAGTGATGTTGAATCGCTGTTGAGTGTCTAGCAGTGATCACTGTGCAGTCTCGATGACGTCGTTGAACGCCATTGGTGAACTAGACCCCTGTGTGCGCTGGAGTGATGTTGGGACCGCCTCTATGACGTGATGTGACGTCCTGAAAACCGCGCCCACCTTCTACCTTCGTTATCACAGTTTTTAAAATTCGCTTCCTTCAAGAGCAGCCCCTTTTCGCTCATTTCCGCTACGTGAGCAACTGAAGCTCTGTTGGTCACGAGAATGAAATTATTCTAGGTTGCTATTGAGTTACCAATGTTTAAATAAATATGCGAAATTTCATTTGCGAAATTCCAAAAACAAATACGAATCAGACGGAGAATCTTCTCCAAATGCTTGGCTACTTAAAAAATGGGGTCTGTTTAGTATATCTGAAGTGAAATGATTGTTTCGTAAACTTGCAAAAAATTTTGGTGAAAAAATACGTTGAATATGCTGAGCCAGGAGCTGTAAAGTCCAGCCGCGTTTTGAAAATTTTCTATTTTGAGGATACTGCGGGGAAACGTTTCTCTCATCTCACGTAGTCCTTGAACAAGAGTTCCATTTCAAGCAGTCTTTTTTAGCTTTATCTTGTGGAGCAGTTCCAAGCAGATGTAAACACTGGTCAAGCGATTCAGATGATGACAGGTATGTGGACAGTTCATTTGTTGGGAAATAAGAGGGAATGAATAGTATATTTAGCGCTTTGAGTGAATAGGACCTACTATTTCTACGCTGTAGAGGAGTCCATTAGTATCAGCATCAGTATGGTTTCTTTCAGTATGTTTGAGCTTCAATATGCTTGCTATCTTGGGGTTTTATAGGTTTGAACTTGAAGCGTCAAGATAGTGGTTTCGACAAGTTTACTTCTGTGCCGATATAGTGCTCCACAGACCTGCCGAAATAACGCGAAAGGATGGGGCCAAGGAAGCACTAATGCGCAGCACACCACTGGCTAAATTATTTGGGCCTAGATTCATCATGAAGGCGAGGGGAGTATTGAACATATTGCGACACCAGAAGATAATTTAGTATGTAAAAAAGCTGAGCAGCTGACTACCTCATGTTCTGAATGAGCAGCAGCAAAACGGTTTTTTAAGGTGTAGTTTCAACCCACTTACGTAACAGCAACTTAGTATCTTTCCGCGATAGAAAATGGAATCTTTGCGGCCAAAAGAGGGATTCACGAAGGTGGATTCAACACAACACCAATGCCTGTCTATCATATGACGAGATGCTCTGGAAACATCAACGTCGTCAACCGAGAGGAATGAAACAACCCCGACCTTTCAAGAATTGAACAAGCTGACGTACGAGGCCTCGCTCAGCATGCTCGGCTGCTCAACGCCTTCATCAGCTGAGCCGGTCAGTCAATTAACAATCGCCAATAACTCAGTAGTTTTTTACATGAAAAGTATGTCCACAGTTGGAAAGTGGACTAGACGAAATAGAAGCACGAATTTCTCTCGACTGCACTAGTTTTGCAATACAAAATTTTGAACTATTTACAGGCATGTATAGATGCCGGCGATACGGAGGACTGCAAGGAATATAAGGCGGAAGGCAAATGCAAGGATCCATCCATGCAAGGCTACATGCAGGCGTTCTGTGCTCATACATGTCGTTTTTGTGGGTGGTAACATCCGCGATGCATCCAGAGATAAACGTTTCTAAGATTTTGCGACAGTTTCGTTCCATCGTTCCTACCAGTTTTGTTTTCTTCGGATCCAACTACTTTAAGAAAAAAAACTGTAAAATCAATTGGCCGATCCAAAAAGTCTTTTATCTCGTCCAGCCACGAAGAAGCTTCTGTGTCTCTTTATGAAAGCTCAAATTTTCCAATGTCGTTAACCTGACTTTGTTCTTGAATTTTTTCAAGAAATTGCTACCGCTGAAATCTCAAAAGTTCCGCTTCCGTCAGTACCCCCTAACAACGACGTCGATGAAAAGCCAACGGTCGATTTTCTGGCAAAATGAACTTTGGGAACAGTTCATGTCCTTGATAGGAAGCTTAGGAGGTCCCGAAGCATCTTCATTAAGCATCACTTGTCACCGAAAATCGACTTAAAAACCCTTGAAGACCAGCCTCAATTTTTTCGGGAAAATACCGAGAAACGTTGAACCTTTTGAGCATTTGTTAGAAGCTTTAGTCAATGTTATATTTCTTCGTATTTCTTTCCATACTACAACATCAACCATAGCTGCAGTGTCACCGATCGCTTTTTATTATAGCCGCCGTGAGTGTCTATCATGATTCAGGACATCAACCGGGTTTACCCATTCGTACTTCCTGGTTGTAGGGGTGGACAATGTAAAACATCTAGATCTGATACGTGTCTACATCGCTTTAATCAGGTGTTCGTTACAGTGACCATTCAACAAAATGGCCTTCTGTGCGTAGGATCTTGTTCGAAAGCATTATGCATCGTGAATTAGGCTGAATACCCGAGTGCTCCGGTTATCTGAAATTACGTGAAGGCGGTGAATCAGCTTCCAACATTCCAATATGCTTCTCCTCCTACTACAAGGAGCTGATCTGTCTCTTGCATCTATCGATCTTAATTTCATAACGCTTGATCGTACAGGGGCACCTAAAGCTGGAGGATACTACTTCAAGATCCTTCCTCGCAAGTTCACACGAGGTCTCTGTAAATGAAGGGAATAGGAATTCATCGAACAGTCATCGTGTTTGTTTTACGTACATACTAAGTGCTGCTTTTCGGTGCAGTACTGTACTATGTTGCCATTTTTAAAACAGAACGTTTTGCGTCTGCCGGAAGTGGAATCCGGACCTAGTGCCAGGGCGCAAAGAATGTAACGTGAAAATTATGCACAAGAAGTGTGAAAAAGCATACAGGTATACTTACAAAACAGAGTGCACGTCTTTCTCACATCCCTTGAACCCTCTCCTCTGTGACTTCGAGAAAGGATTTGTAGTTCAAGAGGAAGATACCTGAGAAAATAAACGCAAGCAAAAAGCGTTCGGTTTTGCACAATTAATTTCACTTGGCTTATGGAAATATAAAGGTAATACGGATATAACAAATTCCAAACTGCTTTTAAATGAAAAGCGGACTATCAAAGGCAGATCGTATGCGTTGATATTGTTCGAACCAACTGATTTTAAGAGAAGGATTTGTCTCATGCCACGCTACAATTCAAATTTTCGGTCGTACAAACCTCTCACAGTTCGCAGGTCTTTTATCCCCAGCGTAGCTTCGATACTGTGATGCGAATGTAGTGCAACAAGACGTTTAAAGGCCGTTCTATCTGAAGGAAACAATAGGCTTGATACCATAGGTTTGGCCGCAACACGTGCTTCTCTTCTGCCTTCTTCTGAGTCTATTATGCGACCATTAAGTTCTCTTCCATTTTTCTCTCGTGACCCCCTCTTAGCTAATTGGGACAAGCTCGCGGCTCAATTGCTTACAGAGTTGAACGTGACATGCTTCTGACGTTCCAGTCGTTTCAGTTTACATTGTGATCCTTCTCCTAATAGGTACAAAAAATGATGTGTGGGAAGCGCTCCTCTAACATGGTTTGGACAATACACCTGCTACGACGACCACAGTCGCAATACTAAACCAACATAAATAGGATCGAATTCCAAGCACTGTCATAAGTTCAGAAAGATACGACATGTTCCTCTACTTCCTTTGCGCACAAAACATTTGTTCAACCTGAAACCTCTACTTTAACGGATAAGCAACTATATCATTGAGACCAAAGCTTTCTAAACAAACATGCTCAATAAAGGAGTCAAGCGTTCTCCGAAACCAAAAACATGAGGCTGCTTACAAGGTTGTTACCGATGGATTTTCGAAGTACATTAAGCGAATGCTTAAATGAAATGCTTCGGGCCTCTAATCCTCCTAAGCTTCCTATCAAGGACATGAACTGTTCTCAAAGTTCATTTCGCCAGAAAATCGACCGTTGGCATTTCATCGACGTCTTGTTAGGGGGTACTGACGGAAGCGGAACTTTTGAGATTTCAGCGGTAGCAATTTCTTGAAAAAATTCAAGAATAAAGTCAAGGTTAACGACATTGGACAAAATTTGAGCTTTCATAAAGAGACACAGAAGCTTCTCGTTGCTATGGACGAGGAAATAAAAAGACTTTATTTCGATCGGCCAATGATTTTTAACAGTTTTTTTTTTTTTCATAAAGTCGTGTGGCTTCCGAATACCAAATGGTAGGTAGCACTGCTTGGAACCGAACTGTCTGCAAAATTTTTAGAAACGTTTATCTCTGGATGCATCGTCGATGTTACCACCCACAAAAACGACATGTATGAGCACAGAACGCCTGCATGTAGCCTTGCATAGGATGGATCCTTGCATTTGCCTTCCGCCTTATATTCCTTGCAGTCCTCCGTATCGCCGGCATCTATACATGCCTGCAAATCGTCACATATTTATGGTATTCTTTTGTATTGCAATACTAGTGGCAATATCGGAGATAAACATTTGCTTCTATGTTTCGATACTAGTCCACCTTTCCAACTGTGGACATGTTTTCCAACTTTGTTCAAGGTAATAAAACTACTCGCGTATCTGCGATTGTAATATGACTGACCTCGCAAGCCTGGAAGGCGGCTTCGGAAAGAAAAGGGATTTTGGAGACGTTTAGGACGTTCTCTCCGCACTGCTGCGGCCAACCCGGGAGCTGTTCCACGATGGCATTCGCAATACTTGTCTGCATACAGCAAAGCGGTTATGAAAACGGAGACACCCACTCATCTAACAAATCAAGAACAACATTCCTCTGAACACGGAGTTTGGGCTTTGGTTAAGCTGCTGAGAGGTAGCCATAAGGCGTGCCGCGTGCTGTTGTCACAGTGGACTCACGACTCATTAGTGGTCGGCAAGGAAAAATCCCGTATGGCAGCAAGAGAAGACTTCCGCAGATGGTCAGATGTGCTTCTCGGTCATGGTCGGTCGGTGCATGCGGTTTCCGTCGAGGCTTCATTCTGTTGCAGCCTGTTTTCATTCAGATGGCGAGCGATGGTGCATCGCAACTGTCCAGGTGCCTGCCCTTGTAGTAGCGTCCGTGGGCACTTTCATTTGCCCGATCAGTGTTAGAGGCAGAGTCAAGCATAGCGCTGATCTTCTCTACTGGCCTCTTGCAACAGCGTCTATTGAGAATCGAA